TCACCAGGATGTTGCCTGGTATGGAGGGCGCTAGCTATGAAGAGAGGTTGAGTAGATTAGGATTATTTACATTAGAAAGACGGAGGTTGAGGGGGGACCTGATTGAGGTCTACAAAATCATGAGAGGTATAGACAGGGTGGATAGCAAGAAGCTTTTTCCCAGAGTGGGGGACTCAATTACTAGGGGTCACGATTTCAAGGTGAGAGGGGAAATGTTTAAGGGAGATATGCGTGGAAAGTCCTTTATGCAGAGGGTGGTGGGTGCCTGGAACGAGTTGCCAGCGGAGGTGGTAGAGGCGGGCACGATAGCGTCATTTAAGATATATCTAGACAGATACATGAATAGGCAGGGAGTAGAGGGATACAGATCCTTGGAAAATAGGCGACAGGTTTAGATAGAAGATCTGGATCAGCGCAGGCTTGGAGGGCCGAAGGGCCTGTTCCTGTGCTGTAATGTTCTTTGTTCTTTGTAGACGGGGGGAGTTCATAATGGAACCTGGGCAAGGCCTTTGTAGAGACCATGAAGATGCAACCTTAATGCTGTGGGTGTTGAAAGAATTTGACCCAGTGCCACTGAAACCACAGCAGCTTGTGTAAACATTTACTAGTTTCTCTGCTTCCCTTCTAACAAAGCAAGGGCGTAGTTTGATTCAACACTGGAGACTTGCTGGGCTCAGACATAGGTTTTTCGTAACTTGATTGTATCTTTGTCTTCATTTGATGCGAAGACCAGAATGTTGCTACACCAGGTTGATGCATGTCATCGTTGCATACGTTGTCATCTTAGCCATTGGTTGCCAAGACCACAAACCTCACCACAGTTTGACGTAGAGCAGCTTTGATTTCTTCTTTCATCTCACTGAGACTATTTCTCTTTCAGGTGCCCTACCATGGCAGACAAGAGTGAACTCAAAGCTGAGCTGGAGCGCAAAAAGCTACGGTTAGCGCAGATCAGAGAAGAGAAGAAGAGAAAAGAGGAGGAGAAGAAAAGAAAGGATGTGAGTCTGCATATTGGCCAGTTTTGTGAAACCCAAAGCAGTGCTGTTTATGTTTGAGAATATCCTCAATAAGATTGGAGCAAGTAATATTCTGCCCAGGCCAGACACATGTTAGAGCTGCCCTCTATTGCCTTGATGTGTTTCCAGAGCACCTTTGCAATTGGTGTGAAAGATACCTTGTGATAAAGAGATGCAATAATGATGAGTGTTTTTAATATATGCTAAAAACTGGAAACATTGGGTTGCCAATAATAGCATGGAATGAAGGTTCATAGAATGCTTTTAAGATAGTTTTTTTTTAGTGCAACACGTTCTATGCTAGGATTAATTCCTGACCTCAGAATAAAGGCAAATCTAGGTAGCAGTGATCACAACATGATTGAATTTTATATCAAGTTTGAAAGGGAGAAGACTGGGTCTCAGAATAGGATTTTTAAATTTAAGGACAACTATGTGGGCATAAAAGCTGAGCTCACTGAAGTGAACCGGTAGACTAGACTAGCAGATCAATAGAGAAGCAGTAGCAGACAATTAAAGGGCTATTTCAGAATGCTCAGCATAAATGTATTAAACGCAGCACGAGTCACCCGTCTGTCTAATGAAAAAGTAGCCCTATGATCCTCTGGGACTCTGGCGAATTTGCCTCTACCTAAACTCTCAACTTCTACAGTTTGGAAGGATAAGGCCAGCAAACACCAAGAACTCAAATATACCTAAAGACATCACTACTGCTAACGACACTAGTCATCAGTCGAACAGCTGTAGTCTCAGGTTCAAACCTAACTGCTCGAAGACTCCATGGATTTTTTTAAACTATATGTTCTCGATCTTTCTTTTTGTACTGGACACTTTCCCCATTTTTAATGTGATGTTAACGTTAGCGTGTTTGAGTTTTATTTTTTTCTCTCCAGGTTGGTGAGTAATAAAATTGCACTTTCCTTGACTCATGATAACCCTGCAATTTTCTTCCTATTTGATTCTGGTCAAGTAGTGAGCGAGTTTTGATTGGAGTGTGATATGTCTGTACACTGGAAAGAATTGAAGATCTTTGTTGCAGTCGAAAGAGGAGAATAAAAAGAGAGGAACCAATTTATCCCTCATTTAGTTGTACCACTATAATGACTGCCTCCTGGGCTCTGATTCTACAATGCGGGGGTGATCTCCCTTTCTTTTTGCACAGTCAACATCCGGTGGATTCAGTCTGCCTATTGCAGTTCAAGTTTAATGTTGGTATGTAAAACTTGAGTGTAAGTACCTACCCTTAAGGAGGGATAATAGAAGTGTTTGTACTTCGTAGAGAGTGAGAACTGTTGAAGTTGGTGGAACACTCTTCCTTCATTACCAAAATATTAATTGTAATGAGCTGCAAACCAATTGTTGTTGCACTATTAAAAGCTTTGACAATCTTTTACATTTGACACATGGTGTGATTCCTTAAATTTGGGGGACAGCATTGGTGTAGAGAGAACAGGAAAGCCAAATAACGTAGCCAAAGATTTTCAGCAGGATTCAAAACAATTACGCAACTGGGCAAACAAATGACAACAGTTTGCATTTAAGTAGCATCTCCATCCACCCCACAGGAGCATTATAAAACAAAATTAGACACCAAGCCTCTCAATAAGATATGGGGGCAGAAGGTAAAAGTTTTGGTTAGAAATTGGCTTTAAGGAGCATCTGAAAGGAGGAGACAGTGAGGTGAAGATGGAGAGGTTAGGGAGGGGAATTCTAGAGTTTGAGGTACAGGTGGCTGGAGGCCCAGCACTGCTCAAGATATGTTTAGAAGAGTGCCGAGATTGCAGCGGATTCTGGGATCAGAAGAGGTTGCAGCAGCAGAGAGATTTTAATTATAAAATGAAGGTGTTCCTTAACCAAAAACGAGTGAAGGTCAGCAAGCAAAAGTGTTGACGGGCGAATGAGATTTGATGCAATCTAAGACTGGTAAGGCAGTCATGGAGGACCACGGGTTTATAGAGCATAGAATGTGGAAGGCCAATCAAGGGTATGTAAGAATTGTCAAGTGTACAGGTCACAACGGCATGGATGAGGCAGTGGAAGAGCCATGCAGTGTTACAAAGGTAGAAATATGAGGCAGATGAAAATTCCCAATTTACATTAAATACTGCCAGATGTATCCTATATAGGATAAGCAACTTGAGCATAAACTGAAAGAAACCGAGGGGATGTGTGGAATGAGCTTCCTGAGGAAGTAGTGAATGTTGATGCAGTTACAATGTTTATAAGACATTTGGATAGGTACATGAATAGGAAAGATTTGGAGGGATATGGGCCAGGAGCAGGCAGGTGGGACTGGTTTAGTTTGGGATTATGTTTGGCATGGACTGGTTGGATCGTAGGGTCTGTTTCCATGCTGTATGACAGGGAAACTTGAGGACTAGCTTCGCAAGCTATTGGTAAGAATGTAAACTTGTATGTACAGTGACTTCATCTCAAATATGTGAATGAAGTTCTTGGGAATGCAAGAAAAATATACTTCAGTTAAAATTAGTTTCTTTAGCTTTGAAGCTACATTTTACAATTATGTCATGTGGCTGGTGGTAACTGGAAGAATGATGCTCATTTTTCATGGACATCATCCTGTCTGTGTTACACAGAGTAGGTGTGCCTTCATAACATCACATGAGAAATACTGAATAGGAATGAGTGTAGTAAATCTTTTACTCTGAGCTTCAGGTACTACATCCGAAATAAATCAAGAAAATTAAGGCCAGTATTACAGGGAAAGGGATCCTCTCATTGTAATTGAAGGCCTTATGAATCGTGTTTTGTATTTGAGGGAGAATTTGAAATCCTTTTGTGGAAGTCTCATTTAGCAAAAGTGTGAATGTTGGATTTATTCATAGGCATGAATGGAGAAATAGGATAACAGGTGAGAACTAGTTAACAGCCAATCAATCTCACATTGCTGATGATTAAGATTAATTCCCATCTCAGCCAAAAAAAGTCCAGTTTACAGTCAAGTTTGATGTCATCTTGTATGACATTAGGACAAGTCTCAATTTGGATAACAGATTGCAAATGCTGCATGTGATGTCTGTGTCCAAGAGATGGATGAAGGTACAGGCTTTGTGATGTGCTTGCTTGTCCTGGAGACGCTTGCCTCTGTTCTCCACAAATGTCCCAATTGCTTAATGACAGAAGCTTCCCCATTGGTGTCTTCCAGACTTGTATAAAACAGTCTGAAAACCAAGCTCTGAGGCTGGATTCCACCATGCGGGTAAAAACAACCATGGACAGACTCAACTGACAAAGTCTTTGTCATCAAGGTTGAGTTAATTTCCTCCAATTTACTGTTGATATTTGTTTACCTTCAATGTGTGTTTATGAAAGTAATGTTAAACTTTAATGTTAAAACAACAATCATGATGCTGTGCCATTTGGAGTTATTTCTTTTGCAGTCTCTGACAAAAGATATAAAATTATTTAATTTTCCAGCCTCCCAATTAGGGAGTTTGCTAACTGCACAGTGAGGAGTTTTCTCGGGAGATGGCTGTCTAAGATACAATTTAAATTTTTTGTGTGTGTTTAATTTTGTGTTGTAAGTAGTAACTAAACTGCAGTGTTCTTGATCAAATAGTTTCTATTTAGAAACATTTACATCTTTCCTGGCTTTGACTCCAGATGAAGTATAGCACACGGTATGGGTTTGTGAGATGTGATTTAAAAACCTTCAGCAGTGAATCTTTGAAACTGCTTTCAGGGTGACTTCAAGAAAGAGACTTCTTCTGCCTCACAGGATGAGCTGGATCTTGAGAGAAAGCGTAAAGAGACTGAGGCACTACTTCAGAGCATTGGGATAACTACGGAGCCCTCCATGGGTGAGTCTAAAATTGGATCCTAAAGTCCTCAGTATAACTGATAGATTGAAATAATATAGTGTCTTTACATGGTTACCAGCAGCAAAACTTGTTTGGTTTGGTTGACCAGAATAACATTTTGTTTTGTTTTGTTCAGTTGTTATTCTTTCTGCCATGTTATTCCCCTTGGAATACGGAAGAAATAACTTCTAAGTTTCTGTAGTGAAACAGAAATGACAGTTTTTAATAGGTTTCAGATCACATACACATCTGACTGATTTCCAGCACTGAGTGCTTGTTTTGTTTCAGGTTCAAATGCAGCATCTTTTCTGTTGTAGTTACATTGTGAAAATATTGAAATGGGGACCTCCAAACCTACTCTTTAATTATTCTAAAGTTTGACAAAAATCTAAGGGGGGAAATATTGCAGTGTTTAGCAGTTTTGGAGCCAAATAAATGGTCAGGCCGATATGAAATGTATACTGAGCTGCTCAAAGAAGCAATGTAGAATGAGTGGAAGCTCTGACAGTCATTTTCCAATCGTCTTTGGCTATGGGCATGATGCCAGAGGTCTGTATCACTGTTTCATTGTTTAAAAAGGGAAGATGGAATAGCCTTTGTCATTGCAGGTCAGATGGCTTTACCTTGATGGTGAATAAGTAATTGGAAAACATTCTTAGAAATTGTATAAATTATCCTTTGGTGAGGAACAAATGAATCTAAAACAGCATGGTGGTCTTCAAGAAAAGTTGTGTCTGACTAACTTGATTGATTTTTTTTTTTGAGTAACAAGGAAGGTTGATGAAGACAGTGCAGATGACATCTTCTTGCATTTGAGCAAGGCTTTTGACAAGGTCCCACTTGGCAGACTGGTCGTAAAAGTTAATGTTTGAACAAACAGAGAGTGCATGAGTGACCACCAGGTAGATGACAGGAAGGCAGGTCATGCAGAGTCCTCTGTGGCCATCCCTCTTCCTAACAGATATACTATTTCGGATACTGTGCAGGGGAAAGCAGAGGTAGCCAACTTCATGGCACCGTGGGTGGGTTTGCTACACAAGAAAGGAGGAAGAGAAAAGACAGGGCTATTGTGGTACAGGATACAAGTTTAAGGAGAAGAGACGGGCCTTTTGTGTGGCTGCAAAAAAGGCTCCGAGATGGTGTGCTGCCTCTCTGATGCCAGCATCAGGGCTGTCACTGAACGGCTGCAGGGCATCCTCAAGTGGGAGGGCAAACAGACAGAGATCATGGTATATATTGGTACTGATGACATAGGTAGGAAAAGGGATGAGCTCTTGAAAGCAGGATTTAGGGAGCTAGGAAGTAAATTAAAAAGCAGGACCCAAAAGGTAGTAATCTCTGAATTACTTCCTGTGCCATGTTCTAGTAAGTACAGGAATAGGAGGTTAGTCCAGGTGAATGTGTGGATGGAGAAATGGTGCAGGAGGGAGGGCTTCAGATTTCTGGGATATTGGGACCATTTTTAGAGAAGGGGTGCGATGGGACTAGTATAAAGTAGCCAGGTTGCATCTGAACTAAAATAGGACCAGCATCCTTGCAGAGACCTTTTTTCATGCTGTTGGAGAGGGTTTAAACTCACTAGGCAGAGAAGTGAGATCCTGAGAGAAGGTTCATAAGATGAAGTTGCGAAGCCAGCATTAGAAGAAACAGCAAGTGGGTCAGGAAGGCAAAGGAAATATAAACCAGATTAGGCACAAGGGAGTTTGGCGAGGTTGGATGGTTGATTTTAATGAAAACACCTGATGAACAAGGTGGATTTTTGTGACTTCATGGCCGTTTCCAATGGGGTTCTGCAGGGCTCTATACTGGATCCTTTGTTAATTTTATACATCAGTAATTGTGACTTGAATGTTGAAAACGTGAGTTAAGAAATTTACAAATGTTCTGAAAATTGGCAGAGTGGTTGCTAATTTGGAAGAACACTGTAGATGGCAGGAAGATATCAATAAACTGGTGACGTGGACAGAGGATGTTGCCAGCAGTGGAGGATTTTAGTTCCGAGAAAGATTGGATCATTTTCTGATTTGAAATAACTGGAATAAGGATTAGAGTGGAGATTAATGTAAAAAGATGATGACTCATGCTTTTTGAGGGTTTTGTCACACAATGATAATGACCTTACCTTGCGACCGGGAGGTCTCACCTGTCCCGGAGGTGTGTGCGTGTATAACATATCCAAACAGGGTTGGTTAAAAGTAGGCCCAACATTAGGAACTGAAGGCTAAATCATGAGGGCAGTTATGCTGCATCGAATGAGGTAATTTGGTTAAATTAACTCTGACTGGAATTAGAACATAGAACAGTACAGTGCAAGAACAGGCCCTTCGGCCCACCATGATTGCAATGACCATGATTCCATTCTAAACTAACCCTATGGTTCCAATCCCTCCGTTCCCTGCCTCGTAAACGTTGCTATCGTGTTTGCTTCTACCACCTCCCCTGACAGCGCGTTCCAGGCACTTACCTCCCTTGTGTGAGCTTACTTTGCACCTCTTCTTTAAACATTTCCCCTCTCACCTTAAACCTATGCTCCCTAGTAATTATAATTTCCACCCCAGGAAGAATATGCTGACTATCCACCCTATCCATGCCTGTCATAATTTTCTCTACTTCTATCAGGTCACCCTTCAGCCTTCAACTCTGTAGTGAATATAATCCCAGTTTGTCCAACCTCCTAGCTAATACACTCCAATCAGGCAACATCCTGATAAACCTCTTTTGTACCCTCTCCAAAACCTCCACATCCTTCCTAATGTGTGGCAATCAGAATTGCACTCAATATTCCAAATATGGCTAATGTTTTATTAAGATACCACATGATTTGTAAACTTTTATACTCAGTGCCCCAACTGATGAAGGCGAGCATGCTGATCACCTTTAGTACCTGATCTACTGATGCTGCTTCTTCTCAAGGAGCTATGGACTTGCACCCCAAGATCTTTCTGTATGTCAATGCTCCTCAGAGTCCTGCCATTTATTATATAGCTTGCTCTTACATTTGCCCTCCAAAAATTCATCACCTCGCACTTGTCTGGATGAAACTCTATCTGCCCAACTTTCTAACTGATCTTTATTGTGCTGTATCCTTTGACAACCTTCCTCACTATCTACAACTCCACCAACTTAAGAGGTCCTAGCACTGATCCTTGCGGAATACCATTGTTTATAGACCTCTAGTCAAAAAAACACACCTCCACAACTGCCCCGTCTTCTATGACCAAGCCAATTTTGTATGCAACTTACCAACTCACTGTGGATCCTATGTGACTTAATCTTATGGACCGGCTTACCATAAAGGACCTTGTCAAATGATTTAGTAAAGTCCATGTGAACAACATTCACAACCCTACTCTCAATCACTTTCATCACTTCCTCAGAAAACTCATTTGTGAGACAAGACCTCCGCCAAATAAAGCCATGCTGTTTATCCTTAACTCCATTCTTTTCCAAATGCAAATAAATCCTGTCCCTAAGAATCGTCTCCAACAATTTCCCTACCACTGATGTAAGGCTCACCAGTCCATTTTCCTGGATTATCCCTGTTGCCCTTCTTCTTCAACAAAGGAACTACATTGGCTACTGTTCTGACTTCTGGGACCTTCCCTGTGGATAAAGAAGATACAAAGATCTCTGATGAGACCCCAGCAATCTCTTCCCTTGCCCTCCCTCTAGATCCTAGGATAGATCCCATTAGGCCCGGGGACTTACCTACCTTAATGTTTTTCAAGACACCGGCCACCTTCTCAATGTCAACATGAGCTGAATGTCTCATCCGAGAGAGTGCTCTAGAAAAGTATTCCACCTCCTTCCGTCATCTCAATTTAAAGATATGATACAGGTTTGGAAAAATGCCAGAAGCTATCCAATGGAACGATGAACAACTGACATCCTCTGGCACCCATTGTGTATGAAGTCAAGTCACCTTCATATTGGGACCACATTAAGTATCAAATAGGTACTGTGTCTGAAAGAGCAGGTCACAGGTTTGGAATCCTACAGTAACTCCCAAAGCCTGTCCATCATCTACAGTTCACTAGTCAGGAGTTTGATGAAATACTTCCCATTCGCCTGGACAGGTGCAGTGGAACAACATGCAAGAAGCTTGATACCTACGTATCCTCTCATTTTTTCCTGTCGCTGCACAGACCTCAGAGGTCCATGCGTTAAATGCCACTGTCCTAATTTATCAGGCAGTGAACAGAATGACAGGCCATCAGATTTCCTATCTTTAGAAGGTGATGATTTCAAGGTGAGGTCTCAGACCTGAAGGGTACATCGGCCATCGTGAGCTGCTTTCTGTTGCAGTGTAAACTCCCACCAATTCAAACCGAGAAGAGAGCAGTGAATGTGTGAAGTTGAGAGGCACTGCTGAGAAACTGAGTGAGTGGCAATGACTGGACGCTGCATCCAGGAACAGTAGCCAGTAAAGGGGTTGGCATCCAAAGCTGGGAGTCATGCTGCAGATGACACTGCGCCAGTGCTAAGAAAACAGCATTTCCCAATGAAGGCTATGCCTAACATTTCTGTGATGCTGCAGTGTGACCTCTCACCAAAGGGACTGGGTGGGTACTTGATGCCTGTGGTACTACATGTTTAGCTGTTTCTGAGGATCACTGGGAACATGTGCATGATATCTCAGGTTGCTACACACTACTGTGTTAGGAAAGGGACCAATGCACCATTCAAAAGAGCTGAAAAGTTTGCGTGATCCTGCACTACCGCTGATAGCCAGACTGAGAAACCATTTGCAGGTTTTCAATGTGTCTGCAGCCTTCATCAACGGCCTGAGACTTTATCAAACAATCGGTCGGCTCAAGGTGAAATGTCATTGTCTGCAAGAGCTCTGTAGTGTGACCCATTGAGTGTTTTCCAATCACTGGTGTGTCTGATGTGTTTTTCGTGGTGCCATACGGTGGAGAGCTATGAGGCCTTGCAGCCGGAAGATGTGGAGCACCCGCACCAGATCTCTGCGCCTTACAGAGATGTGGCAGCCTAAACCGTAGCTGCTTCCAGCAGGAAGAGATGCCTGGGTTTGCTGCTGCACACCACTAACAGGCCACATTGGCCCAACCTTTCCTCACACACCCACCTACATGCATTGATGCAGCTGAGGGAAAAACAATGTCCTGCACATTCCTGTGACTTACTTCCCCTCACTGCATCTAACATCCAAAACTCAGGTGTCTGGGGAGGGACTAGTGGCCTGGGTGTGTCTCTGGATATCGAGCAAAGAGAAGTCTGTGTTGATTTGTAGATGTATAGAGGTGCCATCGCAAAAATTCCAAAATGCAGCTGCTTCCCTTCTCTTCCCACCATCTCTTCTCTCTCTCTCCCTCCCTCCCTCCCCTCCTCATTGTTTAGTAGAATTTGGTTTGGAGGCTGTTGTTGTGATGCTGTCCACTGAATAGAGTACCTCCGTGACTGAACATGGAAAAATAGCTTCCAGGAGTGTGTCAAAAGCATGAAGCAAAACCCCAAACAATAAAGAACAAGGGGGTAACTTAAATTTGGGGGTCATTCTAGTGGATGAAGGAGGTCTTTCCAACAACTAAATCACCAAAATAAAGTTTAAACATTGCTAAAAGGGAACTAGAAGTTGAAAGTTTTCATTTTGCACTCATCAGAATGAGGGTGCAAGAAATAGACTTTGAAAATAAGAAACAAAAGTAGAAACAGATTGCTGCAGAAACTCAGCAGCTCTGGCAGCATCTGTGGAGACAGAAACAGTGTTAATGTCCTGAATGTAATATGGCACTTCTTTTGAACTAAAAGGGGCTGAAGAATGGTGATTTGTATGCTGTTGGCAGAGGGTTGAAAGAGGAGTGAGTGGAACATAGCAAGAACGCCTGGAGCAAGAGACAATGAGAGTGCCAATGGTGATAAAGAAATGATAGAGATATAAAAAAGGGTGTAAAAAGATGTGAGAGAAGGAGAAAATGGAGATCGCAATGGGAATGCCCTGACCAATCAGAATTCATGTGCCTGGTCTGAGAATTAAGATTGATGGTTAACTGTTCTTGCTTCTCCATGCCAATTACGGCCAAACTAGTCAGCACTGTCTTCTCATTCTCTGTAAATGGTGTCTTTTTTGTTGAGTCTGTTTCTTCCGTCTTATTTCTGATGAGCACAAGGCAAAAAGCTTCAACTTCTTTCAGGAATGTTTAAGTTCTATACTACCAAAGCAAAGTTTACAGCACAGCTATTTTTGTTTGGTGCTTTTTCTTTTAGTCACTCTCTCTTATATATACTTTTTCCTTTATTGTTTACTGTCTCTACCAGCAAGCACTCAAATGACATTCTCTGAGGCCTTTTCTTTGTTGATTGTGAACCATTTGCTCGTGCTATGTGAAGAATCTGATGTGGTTCACTTTCCTGTCTTCTTTCTTTATTGTTGGTGTGTTGCCTGCTTGCTGCTTGGCAGTTGTTCTTCATAATAGCCCATTGGAGAATTGTATTTGTAAAGAATTTCTTTTTAAAACAGGACAATAGTGGTTTTCAGGGTGTACAAATTGAAAATGACGGTACACCCCAGACCTCGATGACAACAGAGAGGCAGCACGGAGAGGTTTTGCAGTCACTAGTCCCAGAAGTCTGAGTTTCCACAGGCCCTGCTGATTTTCATGGCAGAGGCACTTTCAAATATTTTGAATCAAGTTAGAGCCATGCAAATTGAGTGGAGACCACTGTTTGTGAGGCCTAGGTAGGCCTGCAGCACCAGACTGCAACCAAGGTCTGATAGGAGTACAGAGCCCAGTCACAGAAAGACAGGTAAACTTGATGGACTGGAGAGGTGATGTGAGAGAAAAGCTGTGTCTGGCTTACAGCCACTTATCTGTTAGAAGTAATGACCTAGCCTCCACTGCTCTCTGGGTTGAAAATTCCAAACTTTGTTGACCCTCCAAGAGAACTTGTTCTATCTTAAATAGGTGACTCGTTATTCTGAAACTGTGCCCCTTAACTCTAGATTCTGGAACATCATCTCACCCTGTCAAGCCTTCTGTTTCAGTAAGATCACTCGCATTCATTTAAACTGAATATAGAGCCAACCTACTCCATCTTTCCTTATAGGAACAGGAGTAGGTCAATTCAGCCCTTTGAGCCTGCTCCACCATTCGATGAGATCATGAGGTAACCCCTTCATGCCAGGAATCAGCCTAGTCAACCTTCCCCAAACTGCAACCAATGGAAATATGTCCCTCAAATAGGAAGAACAAACTGTATATGACACTCAATGGTATCTTATTGTTTTATTTTATCCCCTCCTCTCTGACACACCCAGATGTCTGCTGCATAAGTGGTTTTAAAAGACAAAATCAATTTTAAACTGATGTAGTCACATGAATGCACACAAAATGGTGCATTGAGTACAGTCCTTGGACAAAAATGCAATGAGACTTCAAAGAGACACTGTTTGGAAGTTCAAATGGAAGCAATAATTTCAACTCTTGTGCTGATTTTTCAGATTCAGTCGCTGATGAGGATCAGATTGTCAGTATGTAAACTGAACGCTGCCTCCTTGTACTGTTTTATGTTGTTTACCATATAGTTATCACTATTGGGACTGTCTTGGATGAGCTTGCTTTTACAATATACCAGGACACAGGTGGCACAGTGCTAGTGTCTGCCCCTGGGCCAGAAGGCCTAGGTTCGAGCCTCTCCTGCTACAGAAGGGCAGCAAACTTAGAGGTGTGTCAGAACTCATCTGTACAGGCTGGTTAAAAATATCTTCTATTACAATACAGTTTGAGTGTTGCTGAAAAGAGAATTGTTTTGTTGACGTGCTCATAAGGACAATTTGTCATATTACCAAATTGAAGGGAAAAACCATTATTTATCCTACATGAGAGCAGAGTGCTGATTGGTTGGCAAGTGGTCAAGGCTGTACCAATCAGCACTCTGCTCTCATGCAGTATAAATGTTGATTCCTTTGAATTTGCTTTCTTGCAAATTGTCCTGAGTGCAGGATGAAAGCTTTGACAAAATGTTTCATTTCAGCAATAGTCAAGTTCTGTACTACCAAACGACTATTTACAATACAGCTTCTTGGTTGGACAGTCTTTTAACAAATGTCATTTTCTTCCTTCTCTGTGTGTTTCTTTGTTTTCATTCCTTTTTCTGTTTAATTTCTCCATAACGTTTTTATCTAACAATTCCCATTTAATTTAATTTAATTAATGAACATCATTAATAGTGCAGCCGCTGCGGACAGTAACTGGAGACACCTGTTTGTTCAATTATTTAGTCCATTCTCCTATTTCTCCATCGAACAAATCGTTGGGAACGCCAAGCGAATCTGAGAGCCAAGAATCTGTGGAGGGTACAGCTGGAGCCCGGTAAGACAATTCTGTGCTTTAGTCACTCGTGATTTTTTTATTAGCTGTGGTTTTCCTCCCTTTTCAGGCATTGTTTCCAGACATCTTTTATGCCAATGAACTTTTAAAACATTGTTGCCTGCTCAACCTGTTGGTAACCTGCTTTGAGTTGAGATACCTATAAAACGATTTTACTATTAAACAACATGCAATCGCACTCCAGGTTGTGAACGAAGAACTGAAATTGTTCAATTGTCACACATTTTGACAGGTTCATTGCATTTGATGTAGCTTCTGATCAGTCGGTTGGTAGACAAGTTAACCGAAAACTTGGCAATAATGAAAATTATTTTGGATCAGCCTAGCACAGACCCCTGCGGGACTCCAAATGTCACATCCTGCCAAACACAAATCCATTTATGCACCAGCCTCATCCTCTAGCCTGGCCCATTGAACGCCTCGTCTGATTCTTCTGAAGTAGAACTAATGAACAACCTTGTCGTCCAACAAGTTGGCACCAGGCCAATCCTTTTCCCTCTGCCTCATCTACTGTGTGCATGTGCCCATTGGCACACCATTTGCAGATGCCACTTCTAGCTTTGCAAATGCAAAGGTTGTCAGTTTCTGAGATGGTGGTGATGTGTGAAATTGACTGGTAGTACTTTTTTGTTTTCATTGCCTCTTCCCCCTTCCACCTCTATTTGGGCAGTTTTCAGTTCTCCTTTCTGCAATGAGAAAGGGTCAGGGCTGGGGAGAAAGGAGGGTCTGTGTGTTTAAGTAGAAAGAAATTGAGGGGATGAGGTAGAAGTGGAATGAGAGAGAGTGCATTAGGTATGCAGATAGCCTTCTCATTCAGCCCCACCAGTGGTCAAAGCAGTGTCTTCTCGAAAATGTGCAGGTATCCTTGTCTTCCAGCTCTTTGCTCCTCCTGTCATGTGTCACCATGTCCTGCAAGAAACTTGATGAGTTTCCTGCATTATGTTGGAATGATATGACAATATTGGTTGTGTAATTGCTTGTGTATATAAGCTGCAAGTGTAAGGTTGCAGCATTGCTAAATTGTGAAAGGCTGAGTTGAGGCATATGAATTCTGATTGGAGATTATTGGTAGCCATGGATGAGTTGTGGTGAATTGAGCAGTGGCTGAGGTTAATGCAACACTTGGTAGGAAATTCCTTTTGGGATGCATTGATTTGCCTCAACTTGCACAAAACTGTTATTTCTTCCTCCACTGTTCCATGTCTTCGGAGCAATATTTGTGGTATTGACCTTCACTGCCTCCAGAGCTATTGCCTGGAGGACCACCTGTGCTTTACATATACAAGATGTCTTTACACTTCCTAATGGAGAGTTGAAGGCAGAGTAATGATGTGATGCTCACAAAAGCTTACACAAGAGCAGAAATGAGAGGGATCAACCTCCCCAGCATGTGGGCAAATCCCGAATTGTGGGTCCCTCGTGACTCCCTGACTGCACTATTACCTATGTATCGGGTAAGTTCAAAGTTGCTCCTCATAGATTGATTTCATTGTCTTGCTAATTTTCAAACAAAATTTCCTAGTGGTCAGTGATCTGACTGCCAGGTTTTGGTACAGATTTTTGCTTGTAAAGCTGTTTAAAAATATCAAGGAGGAAGGTGAACTTTTATATTGACACTAATTTGGACCAAAGTAATTACAAATATCTGTAATTTTCCTTCAATGATCTTTGACTTTTTTTTATCCTTTTATTATCTGTTTTTATCCTTATTCTCGACTCTGCAAATGATGACGAACGGTCAGTCCTCAGTAAAGGACTCACTTTTGTCCCCCTCCACCCACACATCGACGAATACAACTCACGTTTGGACGTTGAACAGTTTTTCCTCCGCCGCCTCCGCCTCTGCGCTTATTTCTTTAACCGTGAGCCTAACCCTCCCTCTACTGACCCCTTCTCCCACCTCCAACACACCCCCTCCTGCTGGACACCACCCCAAGGCCTCCTACCCTCCCTCGACCTCTTCATCTCTAATTGCCGTCGAGACATCAATCGCCTCA